CCCCAAAACCCCAAAACCCCAAAACCCCAAAACCCCGAAGGAGTCTTGCTGCATTGAAATCCTCATGATTTGTTCCTAGAAAATATCGTCAAGTCTCTTCTTGATACTTGAAGCTCTCTTCTTTCTACTAGATGCATCTATAAATTAGGGTTTAGAGCCTACCCTCATGGTCAAAGATGGGAGTCGTTGATCTCTGGTGGTCTTCTTCCCTCAATTCTTTCGGTAATTCTTTTCCAAACATAACGGGTGCTCTTCCTTGTGACATTTTAATAAAGCCTAAAAGAGATTTGAATTAGGGATTAAGCCATGGGTATCTGACACTCCAGGTCAGGTCCCTTCTGGATTATCGTAGATTATAGCAATATGGGCTTTTTGATATTATACGAATTTGTTCAGAAATCTAACAAAATATCGCTCAGATCTCAATCCAAATGTTGGCTAAATATATCCTTAGTTATACTATAGCTGACCAAGCGTGATTAAAAGATAAGTCTTTGGTCTTCCAGAATTTTACTTGTCTTAATATTTCATGGAATAAGATTATTTATAACTCTGAAATATTTTTAACTATAAGATGTTTTTTTATATTGTGAGCATTTAAAGGAAACTGAATCATACAGCTTCAGGAGTATTCAAATAGGGCTATCTATAGCAAATCTTTCGAATTGTCGTAGACTGCACTAGAGTTATGGATATCTTTGTTTCTAAAGAGTTTGAATTTTCTCAAATCTTAAAAATGTTCATAAAATGAACAATAATTGACAGTATCAATAAGATAACTCAGGAGTAATTTGTTTGCTAGAATATGGCTTTTAAGTTACTTTTATCATAATTTACTCCAGAGATTGATAATTATCTAAACTATCACTGTCAAGTTTACTCCAATTCAGCTAATAATACAAGCTATCTCTTTGATAAGCGATGGCTAACTAAACTTCCTTGGTGCCATATTTTGAAATCTATTTGAAAACTATGCTCAAATGCAGAAATAACAAAAATCATTAGAACAAAGGGTTAATTCTGATGTCAATAAATCTTGACTAAGTGGAGTCATCAAAATAAAGCAGGAGGTGATCAATTAATCTTTTGCATACAATAAACACCTTAAAGTACTTACTCTCATTTTCAAACTCTTTGTTATAGATGAAATCTACTTTCCTATACTATGAGGATGCGACCCTACCTAATTCTGAAATCGTAAGGCCCTTCCTCAGTTCCCTGTGCGAATATGGCAAAATCTAAGATATCAAAATCCTTAAAACAAGGAAAGATAGATTTCGTTGTCATATCTATGAAGTTCCTGAATGGAAGCTGATAAGTGTTTAATCCTTCCTTATGATCAAGAATATAGCAACCAACAGTAATCTTAGTGAACTGGTCACCTGTCACAGTCATCTCTACAACCAAATTTTTGGAAGGTTTCAAGCTACGCAATTAGAGGCCACTTACTTCTCTAGAGTAATTGCTAGTCCATTCTCAAGGTGCATTCTCTTGATTGCATGGTATTTACTTCTGAATCCACCGAACATATATTGCTGTGAAGCGTATTCTTTAGTAAAGTTCTGTTCTCTAAACGTCATATACTTCAAAAGTCCTGAATTCTGAAGCTTGTGAAGTCCATAGCAGCGGATACACTTTTTCTCTGGCTCATATTTAATATTATAAGTAGTATTGCCTCCGTATAAAGTACTATTTTTAACAAAAGCCCATACTTGTCATTATGAAACTCTCATAGGAGCACCTGGTCTTTATCACTAGAGATTGCTGGGCTCCTTACCTAAAGTCTAACAGTGAGGCCAGGACATACCAATCAATGAGACTTCATAATATCTATTTAATCCTGGAGAGTATGTTTTCTCTTGATAGAAGTTCTTCTTGAGATCATTCCAGAATCTTCTGTTTTTAACTCTGAAACCAGCCCCTATATTATTGTCCTGAATTCTTACTGAACACGTTTATACTGTTGATGAAATTGCCGAACCCAAACATCTTTTTCAATAAATTTAATTGATAAAGGGGTTTTGGGGTTTTGGGGTTTTGGGGG